TGTGTTTCAAGTGCAGGGTCAGAGCCTCAAACCAATAAAAGGGCTTCCTACTGTTGGAGCACCAGGCTGTGCAGCCGCAGGAAATCCCCTGCCTTCTGGGGCTTGGCATTCCCCGTCTCAAAAATGAGGAGAGGGCTTCCCTGGTGGCGCAGTGGTTGAGAGTCCGCCTGCCGATGCAGGGGACACGGGTTCGTGCCCCGGTCTGGGAGGATCCCACATGCCGCGGAGCGGCTGGGCCCGTGAGCCATGGCCGCTGAGCCTGCGCGTCCGGAGCCTGTGCTCCGCAACGGGAGAGGCCACAGCAGTGAGAGGCCAGCGTACCGCAAAAAAATAAATAAATAAATAAATAAATAAATAAATAAATAAATAATGAGGAGACCGCATGCTCTTTTCAGCTGTAAAAATCAACAAGTTTAAGATTGTTTAAAATTAACTCAAGCGTGGAGATCCATCTCTCCCATAACTGCCCCAATCTGAAACCTATCTCTTGCTGGTGGGAAGCAGGTATTAAGAAGGCTGAAAAAGATGGGGGAGGGGCAGTTTGTGGTACCCTACAAACCTCCCCACTTTCAAGGTGCATTCTCACAGGGACCAGGCTTCCCTTCCCCTGCCAGCTCTGCAGCCGCCACACAGCATCGGGGGGGGGGGGGGGACGGACAAGGACACCAAGAGGTGGAGCCTCAGAACATCAAACCCTGTACACAAGGCAGCCAGATGTGCTCCAAAACCAAAAAAATGTATCAAACATTTGTCGTCTTTTGTGGGGTTGACTCCTCCCCCACCCCCAAATGACCTAGGTTTCTGAATTCAAACATTGTTTTGAGTGTAGGTGCGGTTCTTTCTGGGTCCATACCCCAGGAGGTTAACAGGCTGTTTCTGATGGTAGAATGATGGATGATCTTCCTCCCTTTTTTTCTGCTCTTTTCTATTTTCCTATTTTTTACAATAAGCAAGTATGATTCTAATTGGAAAGAAAACGAAATCTACTTTGATTTATTAATTCTCAGTCCATATGTTTCTCACTTAGTTTCGTCTGGAAAAAAAATGGGGACCTTCCAGCTGTGTGGCATAAGGATTAAGTGCATTTGAAATGGCATGACAGCTGAAACGATTTTTTTTTTTTTTGCGGCACGCGGGCCTCTCACTGCTGTGGCCCCTCCCGCTGCGGAGCACAGGCTCCAGACGCGCAGGCTCAGCGGCCATGGCCCACGGGCCCAGCCGCTCCGTGGCACGCGGGACCCTCCCGGACCGGGGCCCGAACCCGCGTCCCCTGCATCGGCAGGCGGACTCCCAACCACTGCGCCACCAGGGAAGCACTGAAACTGGACTTTGGTAGGGTGAAAAGTTAATTGTATTTTACAGCAGTTGTTTGGACTAGAGGGTGGGTAGTGGTGGCCAGAATTTATTCATTCACATACTCCTTTCAACAGATAGCCATCAGTTACCAGCTGAACAAGTTACTCAGGTGATCTGTGTCTGGAATTTCCTCTTGTGTCAAGTGGAAAAAATAAATATACCTACCTCATAGGATCCTTGTCGAGATTAAATGAGGTAATTTATATAGAGCAGTTAGAACATTATCTGGCATGTGATAAACATTCAGTACAAGTTTTTGTTACTTTTGGATTTCCTTATTTTAATAAATGTCTCATAATATGTACAGAATGCTCATAAATTAGACACGGAGCTTTTGCTTAAGAAGCTCAAATTCTATCAGCAGAATAAGATCCGTCCAGAAATAAATATGCCTCGAAGGAGAAAAGGTTAGTTTCTTAAGAGAAACAGATAAAGTACTAAGGAATTCAGAGGGAGAGAGCCCCTCCGGACTGGGAATGAGGGGGTGGAAATAAAAGGCAGCTTTGGGGCCAAGGGGCTGTGTGAGCCCTTCAGACCAGCCCTGCACGCTGGAGCTGCCAGAGTTGCCTTTAGCCTCAAATGGAGCCAGTCTTGCTGGCTGTGAAGATCTGCCAAGTTTCCTGCAGGGAAACATTTAAAAGGCAGTAGAGTAAGGGACTTAAGGGGACAGGCCTGGCCCCAGGCAGCCTGGCTTGGAGCACAGACTCCGTCACTTACTCCAGGGACCCTCTGAGAAGGCCAGTCAGCCTCTGCACGCATCGGTTTTCACAACTGTAGGATGAGACCGTGAATAACACTTCCTGTAGCTGCTTCGGGTAAGGATGCCGTCCAGTGGGGTTTACAGCACAGAGCGTGGCCCCAGTCCTTAGAGTACCATCTGCCGTGGTCAGTAGTGGAGAAAGTGAGTGTGCTGATGTTGTCACAGTTCTCTTCGTGGCTTCTGTCACAGATGGACAGTTATTCAGTCTGCAGGGCAAGTGTTACAAAATACATGTTGTCGAGGAAAACGCTATCTTTGTTTTTATGAATGGGCTCCTTACTAGTATTTTTGTTCAAGTAACAAAACGTGCTCCAGAGCCCTGAGGGTGATGTCAGTAGGCTGACCCGTCAGGAAACGGGCTTCATTTCCTCACGCCCACTCAGACTTCTGGAATAAAGGCCCAACCAAGCAATCCCCCACCTCCAGGCCCCCAACGCTGAGTGTCACTGCGAGCACACAAGAACACGCCTGACGGCGCTCCAAGGCTTTGTTCCCTACTCATCCTGACGTGTTTCTAGAGAAACACGTGGCCCTTCTCCGGCTTCCCAACATTCTTGACCTTATTCATTGTCACGTCATCCTCCGGGCAGAGGGTGGTGACAATGAGTCAGAATTAGAAAATAATGTCTTTTCTCTAGGATGTGCCAGCTGATTTTACAAGTATTTTTGAACTTGTAGTCTGTGCCAGGCACTTAAGCCACACAAGAACCTTGAAGAGTGAATGCGGTTGTTACTCTCATTTTACATTGGGAAACCAAGGCACAAAGAAGTTAACTTGCCCAAGGTCCTACACAGGTAGAAGGTCCAGGGACAGGTCTCTTCAGGCTGCTGACTGCTGCTGTCCGCGGGTGACCAGACTGGTGTTCTTTTTATTCCACTACAGTCTCAGACCAACTTGTGGGAAAGCCTTCAGAATGGCACACTCCCTCCTAATATATAGCCTATTTGCTTGGACCTTTTCTGATTAACATCCAAGTTTTCTGAGAACTAATTAAAATTCTTGCTGTTACAAACTACCACAACCTTCCTCCCACCTATAAATAGCTTCTTTCCCAATAGAGCTCTAGTCCCAAGTAGCTTTAAAGCAAATCAGATCTGCACCATTGGGGGGAGGGGCGATTGAAACCCAGACTTGTTTCAGGCCACACAGTATTTTGGTAGAAAAGCAGGTAAGCACCCCTCTTACCTAGTAGCCAGAAGTGTTTCCTATTAGCTAACAGATTGACTACCTTTCCCTATCTCAGGCCTGGTTGAACCCAGGAAAACTCTCCTGCCCCACTGGTTTTAAGTTTAGCCCGTTTTTCGAAGTGGAGATGATCCCGTGTAGAACTAAGGGCCAGGCTCGGTGGAGTAACCATTCTGGAAAGTAGCACTGGCAGTTGTGGGCACGTCGGCCTCAGCAGGAGTTAAAAGACTCAGTTTCCAAGTCTGGCCTTTTCGTCTTGAGCTGTGTGACCTCGGGCATGTCACTTATCTTCTCTGTGTCTCGTTTTCCTATTCAGGAAAAGGAGATTAATAATGCAGTTCCCTGAGGACCTGATTCTCCTCAAATGAGAATCAAAGGAGATTAGGTACAACAGTAGGAGCCACCATCTATCATCACTCACGTGCCAAATACTTTCAGTTCCCTTACATGTGTTATTTCATTCTCACTGTCCTAAAATGGAGGCCCTAGTGTCGCATTTTGTAATTAAAAAAGAAAGAAAAAGTTCAGAGGAGTTAAGTCACATAGGATTCAGATCTACATCCCTGGCTCCCAAATTGATGCTTATAATCACTATACATGTCACATTGCTTCCAAAGCAGAGAGGCTTTGTCTTTCCTACCAAGTACTCTACAAATGCAAGAGATTAATTATTATCTCTAGTAACCACTGCTGTTCCATGTTAGTCCCTTAGGACAGTTAAATTCTCTTGCTGCTTTATCTTACCTAGTAGTTTATGCTGCCTCTTTCCATGTCCCCAGGACTTGTTCAGTGAATTCTTGGGGTTTTTCTCCCAGAGAAACAGTTCAGCTCTACCAGAAAGGGGGTTGGAGGAGGCTGAGCGGAGCCAGGCATCTTGAGCAGAGGCCTTGAACCCCTCCAGGGTTCCTCCCTCCCTCAAGCGTGTGGTCAGCCAGCTTGTAGCAAACTTCCTTACGTTGCATTTGTTGATAAGCTCCTCCGTCACTGAATTTTAGAAGTGGAAGACACCAAAGCCCTCATTTCATTGATGGGGAAGCTGAGGTCCAGAGAGAGAGATGACTTGCTTGAGGTCATTCATTCAGTTAGGAGTGTGACCAGGACCAGAACCCAGCTCCCCAGGCAACAGACTAGTGCTCTTTCTGAGCCTTTGGAGCGGGCACGTGGCATCTCCCCCAGTGAAGGACAGACTCATGCACTCTGTCCAGCATGCACCTAGGAAACTTTAGGGAGAAATTCGACAACTTGGAAAATTGAGAAGGAAGAAGGAGATGTGGGGAGGGACGGAGTTGGGGTGCAGCTCCCCACCCTGACTAGTGGCTTATACACCAAAGAAGTGAATTAGACCACAGCATGGCAAACTAGGTAAGCCCACAGTCAGCAGTGACTAAGAGGCAAAGGGATTTATGCCGGGAGCCCTGGCCCAGGGAGTGGATAGGGAAGCCTTTTGTCACTAAGGCTGCAGTGTTGAAAATGGAAGGAAGGATGTTAGGCAAATGTGCCGGCCCGGGATGCAGTTACAGCCCCCGCAGCTCATTGTCCAAAGGAAATGGATCTCTCCTGTGGACGGAGAGGTGGAAACTGAGCAAGGGAGCTGAGTGGTTGACATCATCAGGCTGAGCATTGGGTTACAACAAATGGGGACTTACTTGGCCCGAGACGTGGGAAACACCCACTAAAACCTTGAAGTGCATTTCATTTAGGAGACGCGGAGAGAGGGAGAGAGAGAGGACACAAGAGATCCTGCCTGCACCCCTGGCCCACTCTGCTAATCTTTCTTACCCTCGGAAGGGAGGCATTCTGAATGCTGGCTTCTTAAATTCGACCTTCCCTTCTGACTGAGGACCACTGGACTTTGAAGGAACTCTTTGCTCTTGTAAGTAGAACTTTCTTCTCTGTCGCCACCCCCAGGGAGAAGCAGACTTGGAGGTAGGGCTCTCTGGAGAGCTTGCTTTCCAGCCTGTTGGTCACAAAGTGTCTATTTTTTATATTATGATTTATTGCTCTGAAAATTATGGCTTTGTCTGAAACTGCCTAGGGCTAGAGTCTGAGCCTCAAGGCTCGCAGATGGGCTCCAATCAAATGCTGTTTTACTTTGTTACCCAAAGAACTTTGACAGAGTGCCTAGAACTTCGAAAGCAGCTCCTTGCCCCAAATATAGGTGAGGAAATAAATCCTCCCTTAGAAATTGGTGTTTGGAAAATCTTTATTAATTTGTTTTTCTGATTACCACGGTGGTACAAAAAAATCTTAAACATCGTAGAGAGAAATATCTCAGCAAATGAAAATTCCCTATAATCTTCCCCTCTTAAATGTAACATCGGCATTTTAAATTTAAGATACAGGTACAATTAGATTTCATGAAGTTACCTCAGCACTTGTGCTCTGGTGCCTCAGTGGCTGCATAGGAAACTCCGAGATCGAAATCTTTAACTTTGGCTTTGTGATCTTTTTATCGCTTCCTTTAAAACATGTGCTGTTTATTCCTAGAAAATAAACAGAACGTGTAAGTCTTTGGGTGTTTTATTTGTTGGCTTCTGTGTTCAGGATTTTAAACCGAGGGAGCCACTCTGTGCAGAGAGGAAGGGATGGGGCGGTACCAGTGGGTGCCGAGCTGAGGGTTCTCAGGTGGCTTGAGATACAAGGCTTGCAGGGGCTGTGTGTGCTCCATCTAGCCTCCTAGCAGGTAAAAATAGTTGAAAAAAATCACAGTTAAAGAAGAGAGCCTTCAGCTTTAAAAAAACAAGAGCCACCACATAATAGAAGGGCCACCCAAGGAAACCGTGGAAGCCTGGGCAAGTGCTTCACTCTCCGGGCCTCAGTTTCCTCATTTGTACCTAAATGAGGGGTGAAACTAGATGATCGCTTTACAGTTGACCCTTGAACAACATGGCTTTAACCTGCGAGGGTCTACTGCTCTGCGGATGTTTTCCAATAAATACATTCTCCGGAACTACATGATCTGCGGCTGGTTAAATCCATGGATAAATCCATGGATGCGGACCCACGATCTAGGTGGCCGACCGTAAAGGTTATACTCGGATTTTCGACTGCACGGTGGATTGGTGCCCCTCACCCCTGTGTTGTTCAGGGGTCAGCTCTGTTCCCAAGTTCAGTTTGAAGTGAACCACTGAAATCTCAGTGGTCAGTATCATCATTCCCTAACTCCGCCAACAGGGTAAATCTCCACTATACGTTCCCGTATTATGGAGAACTCCTTCCTAGTGTTCACCTGATCTGTGAGAGCACCGAATCCTAACCACTAGACCACCAGGGAATGTCATACCTGAGCTGTGCTTACATGGTTATTGGCGTGGCATCAGTTCACTGCTTCCACTAGACCACATGCACCATCTCCTCTGTCACTATACCTCCTTGCCTGGTAGAGAACTTGGCGCATAGGTACAGAGAAGACACATCATAGTCAATTTTAACTTAAAGCCCACTGTCCTTCTCCCTATCTTGGCAAAAGAGAGGCAGAAAAGGAGGGGAAATCTCCTTTTTTGCCTCCCTCCCTCCTCCATGTCACCGAGACACAGCCTGCACTGCTGCAGGGAAAGGGTGCCAGAGCCAAAGTACAAAGAAAAGCAAAAGAAGTTGTCAAATCTTGGACTCTGAGTTTCCAAGTGTCCAGATCTTGGCAATTTAAGGAATTTTTTTTCCCTTTAAGGCCATCAGAGACCCTAGCCCTCAGGAACATGCAGTATTTAAAACTGTTTGTTTGGATTAAGATCGTGGTTAACTGGAGGGTTTGTGAAGCCCCTTAGCATATCTGAGAGCTGAAGCATAACTTCCCCAGCAGCTAAGCCCCTTGAAAGTGTCCTGTTGCTGCCAGGGCAGCACCCCTGGGCGTGGGCAGCAGGAGGGCCCGGACCTCCATCCCGGCCTCACCCAGGATCTTGAGCCCCAGAATCTCAAAACTTTGGCTGATTAAAAAAGTCGTCCCTCTTCCTAAGGTGGTGCTGAGGTGATTTTCTGGAAGGAAGGTACCTGGTTTGGGTTTTTATTTATGTTTAAATTCGAATGCTTAGCCAGTCTGTCGCGCTCTCTAGTTTCCTACCTGGCCTTTGGCCCCTGTGGGCACTTGCATTTGTGGCCCCCGGGCTGGTTGGTGTCCCCAGTCCCTGTCACTCTAGACAGTCTAGGGTTCGAGGGGAAGTTGAGCCATCGCAGACAGATGACCCCCCCCCACACAGAGCGTGCTTCTCTTCTGAAAAGTGGGAGGTCACAATTATACCTACCTCAGACAGGTGCCATGAGGACAAAGCAGGATAAAGCTCGTAATGCACTTGGTTGGTCCAAAAATACATGCTCAGGATTAGCTGCGTTATGGTTTCCAGAAAGAGAAAGTTAGCTGACGTCACAGGCACCTGCCCCCTCAGTCACAGGATGGCAGTTGCGTGAGGAGCCTGAAGTTATCTCTGAACTCCTCAGTTTCGACCCCCCATCCCCTACTGGGCCCTGGAGCTGCCATGCTGGCTCTTTAATCCAAGCCTCAGCAGTGTTTCCTGTCACCCACTTAAGTGATGAGGCCAAAAGCTGAAGTGGGCGCTGTTCTGTTGGGACCCAAGGTCCCTGGCCCAGCCGCTGAAGGAAAAAGCTGGTGGCAGGTGTTACTTTCTGAGTGTGACAAGCGGCTGAGCTCACCCAGTTCACTCTGCTGAGTGCTTTCACGAGGGGCCGGAAGTGATTCCTAAGTGGAGACAGACGTGGAAAATCTAAGGTTCTTGAAAACAAGTCAGTAATCACTACCCAAGGCTGAGCTCACTACCTCCTGGAAATCTTTCAGAAATGCCTCATGAAAACTTTGAAAACTGACCCTTCAAAGAGTGGTTTCTTTGGAAGTTGCAATCAGCTGCCGTGCTGAGCCATTCCGAATCACAGATGAAAACACATCCGCTCTGACCGGAGGAGGCCAGCATTTCCTAACTTGAAAAGAAGTCTCTAATCTTCCAAGAAATTGCTGGTCTTCAACTTGGCTTTTCCGAACTGAATAATGGACCTTCAAGGCACTAATGAAGTATTTGGTTGCTAATGCATTCTTACTATGTCCCAGGGAGCTCGGTCAGTAATTATGTTTAGTACTTTATGGCTGTGGTCTCTGACGTTCAGTAAACCTGCTGAGGGCTGATGGGTACCGGAGACGAGGCTAGAGGAACAGGCTGATTAAGAGACAGCCTCTGGCCTGGTGCAGTTCTCAGGGCATTTCGAGGACAGGTGGGTGAGTGAATAATTACAGTGGATCAGCAGCAGGTGGACGGAGGTCGTGGTCTTGAGCTGGGTTGATTACCCCCACGCTCCCCTCCATTTCCTGACGCCCAGAGCTTTGCCAGCACTCGCATTAGGGGGAAATGAGAGCCGCTCCTGCTGAAGCATTC